GGGACTACAAAGGCAGCATGTTACTTAAGGACCTGTCATCAACCACATCATGCTAACTAGTTGACCTGTCAATCAACCACATCATGCTAACTATCCCACAGCCACCACCCCCACAACTAAATGGTATAGTTCGGCACGCAAGTTGTGGCGCTTAAATTGACAACGTCCGTCTGAAAAATAGATCCCAGTAGATGTCATGCTCCACTTACTATTCATATTTTCCAAGAATTCAGGAAGATAGAAGAACTCTGGAATCAATTCTTTAACATCATTGGGATTTTCCATTGAAGATTGCCAGGTATTGGGAATGGAGTGAAACTGTCTGTCTGCACAGTCAAATCTAAACATGAAATAAAATTGACATCAGTTTACAATCTAAGCCACACATTCAAGTGATGAACTTATTTATGTTTAGCGAAAATAAAATTGACATCAGTTTACAATCTAAGCAACACATTCAAGTGATGAACTTATTTATGTTTAGCGAGAATATTTAATGAAATACCGGTACCTTCCACTCTGCAATGATATATGTAAAGTTGTGAATGGTTCTACTCGCACTAGATAATGCATCACCCCGGGACCATTAGAATAATGTGTACCATAATGGAACTTGTCTATTATACCAGATGGGTCCTCAAAGTTCTCAAACCTGAATTAAAAAAACAAAAAACAAATAATGAATAACAAGTCATTAAGTCAATAACAAAGCTCTCGCAAAAACTTTAAATTTCGTTTTTGAAAATGTGCATGTTAAATTATGTTTCTTTGGCTCAAAATATGCTAAAAATGTGTTCCATATTGTAACTCTGAACACTTTTCACAAAATTCACTGCAGATGCGTATCACCATCAATTGGTTTAAGATCTGTATTAGTATTATTTATGGGTCAAAAAGTGTCATTTTCATGACATCATAAAAACCTCCAATTCAGATAGAAGTGATTTATAACATGCAATAACGAGCAGCACTTCATACTTTATTCCCTGAAGAGTATGTTGAAATTTCCTAAAAATAAAATAATTAACCTTTTCACCACTAGACTTTCTCACCCAAATTTTTCTGTATCTTTTTCTTGTATTCTTCAATATTCCTGGAAATGAACCCTAATATTGGAGCCAACAGACTGAGTTTTAGTCAATTTTCAGTTTTTACTCGAAATTGTTTGCCACTTTTTAAAAATATTCCGAAAGCGCGGACTATAAACAGGACTATTTTGTGAATTGTGATGAAAAAACGCAACTGGTGGTGACAAGGTTGCAATATTTATATTCTTCTAAACCTAATAACAGTTTGGTGGCCTAGATAAAATGACCTTTAGTTTTAATGTATCGTATACATTCAACCAGGAGAACCACACCCACAATCTTCCTGATATTTAACACTGGAACCATTGTAACACACCCAAGAGTGACTTACTTTGCACTGACTTCTTCCACATTCTTTGGATTCACTACACCCATAGGTTTGGAAAGATCTCTGTATACATCTGGATTGCTCAGATCTAACACTTCAGACGTGTAATCAGATAATACCCATGGAAACTGAAATAAAACAAGTTTTACAAGTGACATAAAAGTCTAGTCTGTGTCAGTGTTTTCCGCCATTGGAGAACATTTTTGAGACAGGAAGTCGAAGATATTTTCATGTTATGTGTTGTCTTTATTTACGTTAAAGGGCGGTAGACGTCGCGCCACGCATGCGAGATATATGGGTCTCATACAAACAAAAATGGCAACTTTAACTATTGCGCAGATCAACGAGTACAAACTGAGACCTTACCAAGTTTTAATTAGGTAATTTTTGGAAGGTATCGAAGGAGTCACCGGCGGTATTCAGTGCAAGTCGCGCCCAGGTCAACCCTCATACATGTGATTTTCAATAGAAGAGTGCAATGAATTGTGGGAAAATCAACGTTTATCAACACAAATGTCG